AGCTGTGGTACATATATACAAGAGAATATTACTCAGCCAAAAAAAGGAATGTACTTCAGTCGGTTCTAATGAGGTGGAGGAACCTAGAGCCTATTATACAGAGTGAAATCAAGAAAACAAATATCATATATTAATGCATATATATGGAATCTAAAAGGATAGTACTGACGAATCTGTTCAAAGAGCAACAGCGGATACACAGACAAGAGAACAGACTTATGGACAGAGGGTGGGGGAGGAGAGGGAGAGAGAAATGGAAAGAGGAGCATGGCTGCACATACATTAACATAAGGAAATACAGAGCCCATGGGAATTTGCTGGGAACTCAGACTGGGGCTCTGTGATAACCTAGAGGGGTGGGAATGGGCGGGAGGGAGACTCAAGAGAGAGGGGATGCTTGTACACCTATTCATGTTGACATATAACAGAAATCAATATTGCAAACCAATCAATTAAAAATAAATATAAAAACAAGCACATAAGCACAGAATGAACCACATTCACACAATTTTACAATGGAGAAGCTAAATTAACCCTTAAGTTTACCTGTACTAACATGTAGCTGACATGTTAAAAGGTCTATACCCAGTCTCACACAAGGTTAGAAAAAACTTAGGTGTAAAATAGTTTAGATAAGGTCTTAAATCAATAAGGAAGTCCTTTCAGAGTCATCGGCAGCTGGCTTTCTTTCTCCATGACACTCAACAACCCAGTCTACACTGGAGAGTGCACAGTAGGGAAGGCGGTGGTTGAGTGGTTGCATGAACCACATTATTCCTTACAACAGTTACGCCCATTTCACGATGGGGAAACTGAGGCTGAAAGGTCCAGTAAATGCACCCCCAGAGCTCGTGTTCTTACCACTCTGCCAGTAAGGCTATTGTGTCCGTCTTTAATACATGGGAAAAATAGGCCACTGTTGCCGTGTTAGTAGCACACCCACACAAACATGTATTGTTTACCCCTGTCACGAAGTGGTGAAACCAACACACAACACACTCCTACTGACACTCGGATGAACAGACAAGAGTGGTTTAGTGACTTTTTTTTTTTTTTTACCGATATTGTAAAGCTGCACTAGTGAAATGGCATTTGGTAATAATGTCAAACAGCATATATGGATGCACTACCCTACAACTGGGTCGAAATTTTACAAAATTAACTTCCCTTTCCCCCTAAATATTATAGTCTCAGGAAACAATATAAATATATAAGGGAGATAATCTGTTTAAATAGGCAACCCTATGCTCAAATAATCTTTACAAATTCTAGAATTTTATCCCCTAGTTAACAAGAAGGATGTTTGCAATCAGACTCAGGTTCAAATGCTGCCATTTCTAACTCAAGACAAAAACCTCGAAGCCTCAGTTTCCCTAGCTATAAAAAGGGGGCAATACTTCCTCCACTGGGTGCTTGGGAGGCTATTACTGGGATAAATAATAAACTCCAATGAACAGTTCTCTACTTTCACGTGCTCTCTGGATAAGGCCATACTTCATTTAAAATGAGTTCTCAGTAAAGGCTTGGTAAAATGAAATAAACAGTGGTAAAGGTCTTGATTAAGGAGAATAAATCAGCACATGGATAACAAAGCTAACAAACAAATAGGTTAAAAAACCAGGAGGAAGTAATTCCACACAACATTGTGGGAGAAACAGGTTTGCTCTTAAAAAAACAGGTAAGTCATACAAACAGCCTCATAATCAAAATGGACTTTCAGCAGGGGACAAGTAGAATTCATTTCCCCCAAGGGATCTATGCTAAATTTCTTCCTTAAAAAAAAAAAAAATTACATGGGCCCCAATTCCTATCATCACACCCTTACCACTTCACCTGATTACAAAATGCCAGCCATAGTTCACTTGCTAAGTAGGACTGCATAACTCAAAAAAGCAGGTAACAAAATTGCAGTTGGAATAACTCAGAGAGGCTCAATATTAACCCCAGCAGTAGTTTTAGAACCAACACAAAGACAAAAGAGGAAAATAAGTGCTAATGTAAGAACCAGGATTGCATACAAGAAATGCCTAAACCTTTTCTTTTAAAAGCAGTCATACTGCTTCATTTACATCCAGGGTTCACAAAGCTTTCACTGGGAAATACCATAAGCAAAAGTGAGGCTTGAGGAACTTTCCCTGGTGGCCCAGTGGCTAAGACCCCACACTCCTAGGTTTGATCTGTGGTTGAGGAACTAGAGGACTTCCCAGGTAGCTCAGTGGAAAAGAAACCACCTGCCAATGCAGGAGGCTGGGGTTTGATCCATAGGTCAGAAAGATTCCCCTGGAGTAGGAAATGGTCACCTCTCCAGTATGTTTGCCTGGAAAATTCCAGGGACAGAGGAGCCTGGCAGGCTACAGGCTATGGGGTCGCAAAAGGGTCTGACACAACTGAGCACACGCACGTGCCTGAAATGGAGCCTAACTTAGCTTTATTCATAATTCACCTGTTTCCTGTAGTCAAATATTTCCTATTTTCAGTTCTACGGTATTTGGGGGAAAAAACCCCACAAAACTGTCAACAAATAGTTATGGAACTAGAATGAAAAGGAATGACAGAAAAAAAAAGTCAGCATAGCATATTACCCATTTACCTAAAGGTCAGATAATACAAAAATTATATAAAGGTAATAGTAATGTTAACGCGCGCGTACAGAGCATAATGTGTAGGTAATACAGAATGAAGTGAGAAGTGGAAGTGTTAGCTGCTCAGTGGTGTCTGACGCTTCGCAACCCATGGACTGTAGGCTCAGCAGGCTCCTCTGTCCATGGAGCTCTCCAGGTAAGAATACTGGAGTGGGTAGCCATTCCCTTCTCCAGGGAATCTTCCCAATCCAAGAATTGAGCCCAGGTTTTCTGCATTGCAGGCAGATTCTTTACCATCTGAGCCACCAGGGAAGCCCAGATAATATAGCACAGAGCAAGTGAAAAGCCCAGATTACCATACTGAAGATGTTTACTAATACCCCAAATCTTATCTATGCTAAGCTCTTAAGAAACCAAGGTGAAAAAATGGGTAAGCTTTTAACAAGTTATCTCTGAACTGAAAACACATTGAAAAAAAAAAACAGAATACCTAAATGTAAGAACCTCTTGTTTGTAGTTATGCAAATTTTTACTAATATCTGACTTATTACTAGACAAAGATTTTCTTTGCTAAAAGAGAAAACTGGGTGATCAGGAATAAACCTGAATACTGCCTTTCCTATTCAAATTATCTTTTTCTATTATACTTTCCCTCCACTATCTATTAATACTTTGCAAAAGTTTTTGATTCTTTATTTTGTATCAGCACATTAAATGGTTTAGCATTTGCCGTCAATGGAATTGTGTCCCTCCCCAAATTTCATGTGTTGAAGCCCTAGCTGCTAAATGCGACTATCTGGGGATAGATTTAGGAGATAATTAAGGTTAAATGAAGCCACAAGGAAAGGCCTCCAGCCTTATAAAAAAAGGAAAGAACCACCTCATTCCTGGCTGTGCCAGGCCCCCACCCCACTGTGAGACGCAAGGAGGAGGCAGCTATCTGAAAGCCAGAAAGAGTCCTCACCAGAGGTGAACCATGATGGCACCCTAATCTGAGACTTCCCACACTCCAGAACTGTGAGAAAATAAATTTCTGTTGGTAATAAACCACCAGTCTAGGGTATTTGTTATGGCAGCCTGAGCTAACTAATACAGCATTCTAACTAACAAATCACATAACAAATGTTTTCCTACTGTCCCAACCTTCTAATGAAAACTCTTGTTTAGAATTCCTTCAAATGAGCTTATTCTACCCTTCTCCCAGAACTGCTGGGAGGTAAACCAGTAACTTAGTGAAGGTCCCTCAGTTGTGTCCTACTCTTTGCGACCCCATGGACCGTAGCCCGCCAGGCTCCTCTGTCCATAGAATTCTCCAGGCCAAGAATATTGGAGTAGGTAGCCATTCCCTCCTCCAGGGGATCTTCCCAACCCAGGGATTGAACCCAGGTCTCCTGCATGGCAGGCAGATTCTTTATCGCCTAAGCAGCTAATCAGTTACACCAAAATTCTAGCTATCTAATTCCAAGCAAGCAAATAAATGAGTTTGATCTGCTTACAAATCTTTAGGAAAAATATCCAAACCATCTTTTTCATCAAGAAATTTTGAAACAAAAATCAGGCTTTAGCTCCTGAAAAAGAATGATAAAGTTTAAGAATAACCATCTGTAACTTACAAGTTCCTGAAAATAACTTGAATCTGACTTCATGATGATTCTCATAGTGGCTTTGGGTGGGTCCCCAACAACTCTATTACTCAGTATTACATCTGATAGTTAGCACATAATTGCTTATTAGTTAGCACTTTAAAGACTTACTGTATGAAAGATGATGGGTCATTCATGACAAGATTTGTGATTATAAAATTTACTTTTACAGTACATGATGCATCAGATATATTAGCTCGGTAATGAAATAATTTGGGGTAAAATCTCAACCTCATTTTATCATCTCAACAGATAGGTTATAGTAACCACCACAATCTACATGTATTTGAAAAACAGATTAAAAGTGGTGCCAATGATGAACAGCTGTTTGTAAAGAGTATACATCCACAATTAAAAAAAAAACCAAAACACCCTTATCCATTCAAAAGCAGCAGAAATAAACACCAAAACCAAGATAATCAAGAATAAGTGGCAAAAAAAAAAAAGAATAAGTGGCCTTAGAATTGGCAAAAAAAATTCTGTTTTTCACATTCATCAATTCATCAACTGAAAAAACAAAATCAAGCCACTCCTATAATCCAGAACTGAATTCTATTTTATGTGTTCACCTCACAAATATCAATGTCTAAAGCCATGTAGATCACCATTCCAATTCAGTCAATTACAACTACTTTGATTGTACCGTTTTCCCCTAGCACAATAGACAAATTTTGGACAAGTGAATTTTCATACAATGTTTTAAAGTTTCTTGAATTGCCATATTTTCCTAGAGCTGTCTTCTCAAATGATTCCTGAGTCATTACTTAAAGGATACACTCTGTCATTGCTGCAACATCCAGTTTATCAATATCAGGTGAACCAGGGCAACACTTCTTGAATTCTTTTCGAAGATCAAAGAAGGAATAGAAGCATTCAGGCAATAATACATTCTGAGGAAGGACAAGGTAGATACTGTTAATTAGACACATTTAGTTCAGTAGTTCCCTAACAATTAGGAACCTAAGAACTGAATGTAATTATATTTTACCACAATTAAAAAATTTTTTTTTTAAATTTAAACATTAGAATGTCTTCATTTTCTGTTAAAGTATTACATCCTATAAAAAAGTGTCATGCAAAAATAATTCATTTTATTTTAAGGCAATGGATTATACATGTGTGCTCCACTATGTATTCTTCTAAAACAGTTCTGAAGCTACAAAACATTTAGGCTACTATACTTTATATTTCCTGTCTGATAATACAATGTTCTTTGTCTAGCCACAATTGTTAGACCATCTATATTTTTAGGAAGCGATATTAGTCCTCTCAGTTTTCATACATATGCATATGTTTACAATATATGTCTAGACCTGGGATCCAAAGTTTTTATCAAAATTTAGTTTTCTATTAAAACATAGCTTAAAATACTGGGTTCTGATAAAGCATACTCCAAACACTAAAATTAGAACATAGCAAATTCCTGATTACCTGAAGAGGATTATTTTTCTGCCAAATTACAGTCCCACATTAGTTTTCCAGACCATTATTATTCTAGCTAAACCCTGAGAACTCAAATTAGACTTAAAAGAATATATCACAAATCTCAGTGGCAAAGAAGACATGGTTCCTATTGACTAGCATCACTCTTGTAGTCAAAGCTCAACTGTCAGAGCAAATATCACACTATTGTGTCACTTTTCTGAAAGAAAAAAAATCCTCATTGAATAATTATCAAAGTTTAGTTTTGTTACAGTGAATTGAGATTTGTCTTAAAACTTCAAGACAGTCTATGTTCACTTACTGGGAACTTGTACATTATAAAGTCAAGGATATAAAGACTTTTTAATGTTTGTGACCCATAATATTTATGCAATAATGTCTCTAAATTTCCTTTATTGGATTCTATTAGATGTGGTTTGTTCATGCTATATTTGAAACAAGTATCAGTATATCATGGTGATGTTTTTAAAATAGGTAATCTTGAATTGTGAATCTTTCAAGATTAGCTACAAAAATGCTTATTTAAAAGCGGTTTATAATGACAATAACTCAAAAGTCTGACAATAAAAGTTTGGTTTAAATAGTTATATCCATTTAAGACAGTGAATTTTTTTTTTAATGCTTACACAAAATATTGATGTTATATTAAATTCAAAATAGGTTAAAAGGTTTATGTAGTATGAATGCTCCGTGTAAAAGTAAGGCTTTTTTATAAAAATCTGAAAGAACACATTCAATTACGTTCACATTCAAAAAACCACTTTGTTTTCTGACTGGAAGGGTTATTTTGCTTTACAGAAGTTACTCAGGAAAAATTTTTCTCTGGAGGTTGTCTCACATCCAAAGCAGTGTATCTAAAATAACAAAAACTGCTGCTTTACTCCAGCCCAATAGAGAAAATTTTAATTTTATCCCTTATATGAGTATGAAGGGGAAAAAAATTTCCATATATGTATCTTTTTTCTGGATTGAGGGTATAGCAATTATGTTTAGCATTTATTTAATTAACAAAAAACCCTCCTCTTTTCATCAATTACTAAGGTGCTATAAAAAGAGGAGTTTTTAATCCAACTCTCAAGATACAGGAACTTGAGTTTCTCCTTTAAACTTTTAAAGTTGTCATTATCCATTTAATTCATTTCTCTCCTTTCCCTATTGGAGTAAAAAGAAAAAGTCTGCACTGACTGCTCACTTGTGACATCAATCGCCAGTCTACACTTTTTATTGCAAGATTTACCTCACATACCTTTCCTTAGGAAAATATTTTACTTCCATCTTTTCAAGTTCAGTATCTGCCTATCACAATAAAAAGTTACAGCTCTAACTAATTAAGTTGATAAGATCAACTACATTAACAATAATTGGTCACACTGGGTCTGCTGTCTACGGGTACTATTTTTTCTCAATCCCTCAGTATTCTCCCCCAGAAGGGGAATCACATCTACATAAGATAGTATCCTTCTCATTTCATACTTTTTTCCATACCAGAAAGATGAGTAAAGGTAAAAGATGAGGCTGACCCCATTATTTTGATACAAAATTCAATCAGTTGCACATTTACTTAAAGTCAGACAAAACACAGTATGCTATAATTAACATTTAACTAGTTACTTAAGAGTACAAAGCTTTTTAATGAAATCATTAGAATTACACTCTAATTTGAAAGATTTTTCTTTGCTCCCTCTTTTCTAGGATAAGGCATTTGTTACACAGATGGGAATATCACGATGTATTAAACTACAGTTTTTCCCACTTTAAATGTCAAAAATTCAGCTCATATGCTTTGGGAAAGAGAGAATGTCAAGCCCCTCTAAAACTTAACATACACAAAAACAAACTTTTAAGTCACCAAAGGGTATCTACAAAATTACTGTTACCTCAAATATTTCTACAAAAGTGCTGCAAATTTTTTATTGTGGTAAAATATACATAATACATTACTTACTATTTGATGATTTTAAAGTGTATAATTTAGTGGCATTAAGTACACCCACATTGTTGTGGAACCGTCACCACCATTCCCTTGTCATCTTCTCAAACTGAAATTCTGTACCCATAAAATACTAACTCCTCATTTGCATATTTTTAAAATAGAGAAAACTGGATAAACCGTTGCTTAAGCCTCCAGTCACCCTTAAGGTCTAATCGTCTTTTTCTGAAACCGGCACGCTTACCTTCTTAGAAGCCTCGGGATGCAGAATTTGCCTGACATGAAGCTGCCCGTCGGTACAGAGACAGAAGGAGGTTCCTACCCCAATGTTCAGTTCATTGCTCACTGACTGGTTAAACTGAAAAGAACAGAACACACCCAGGGATGCAAAGGATGCAGGATTCACAAACTCTGAGAAGTGGCCCTCTTGTTTAAAACCAGAAAAAAACCCGGCTAACAGCTGCAAAGACCACCTCTACTGGGGACAACATTACAAGGACCCAGTCCCTCCAAACGGTCCAGCTTCCTTTAGTCAAGGGACTTTTCCAATCAATCCTCAGTTAACCCACAGAAGAATTTAGTAAATGCATCCTTCAACATCCCTCCTCCTTGCATTTTTGTAATAAATCCATTCAAGACTTTTAAGTCAGAGGTCTCATTTCATCAGCAAATTGCCTTCGGATTACATCATTCTCTGGTGTTTGTTTTTTTTTTTTTTCTGTTAAAATGCTCTAGACTTAAAGAAAGATGCCAGTTTCTGAAGTAAATGTGGCCAATGGGTATACAGAAGGCTTCCCTGGTGTCTCGGTGGTAAAGAATTCGCCTGCTAATGCAGGAGACGCAGATTGGATTCCTGGGTCGGGAAGATCCCCAGGAGAAGGAAATGACAACCCCCTCCAGTATTCTTGCCTGGGAAACCCCATGGACAGAGGAGCCTGGTGGGCTACAGTCCATGGGGTCGCAAAGAGTCGGACACGACTTAGAGACCAGACAACATCAATGGGTACATAGAACTCTGTTAAACGTAGTACCACGTTTCCTGTAACACACCCCAGCAATGGTAACTTTCCCCTGTAATTAGCAGCTCCTGTTCTGGGGCAGAAGCCGGGAGCACGCTGGACACTCACCTGCGCACAGGTGTTCAGCGCCCCGCCCTAGCCGCGGTCCAGTACCCGTCAGCATCCTGGTTTTCAGGTCACCTCAACTCCAGCTAAGGGGATTCCACTACTTTCGTGGCCACCCACGGGGCAACCCCACCTGGTCGGGCCCACAAACCCTCCCAGCGCTGGGCCCAAGGTCACTAAAGAGGTAAACGGAACCGAAACCAGGCCCTTGGGGGAATTCAGGAGCCTGAAACCAAGCAGCAACCCCCCGCCCGCCCGGTTCTCACCCAGCGGGGGCCCCCCTCTAGCTCTCCGCGCGAGGCCCGCCGGCACCGCAGCGCCCCCAGTCCCGGGGGCAGAGCCGCAGACCACAGCGGGGTCTCGGCCTGGGGTTGGGGGCACTCGAATTCCAACTCCGCTCGACACACGACTGATGAATAACCCGGCGGATCTCAGGCCCCAGGAGCTAGTCAGGAAACAGCCCGAAAACTAACAAGTTTTAGCCCAAAGACTCCGGGGGTTGGGCTTCCCCATCTCAGATGGTAAAGAATCCGCCCGCAATGCAGGAGACCCAGGTTCGATCCCTGGGCCGGGAAGATCTCCTGGAGAAGGGAATGGCTACCCACTCCAGTATTCTGGCCTGGAGAATCCCATGCACTGAGGAGCTTTGCCAGGCTACTATCGATGGGGTCGCAAGAGTCGGACACGACTGAGCGACTAGACCATCACCACCACCACCCCGGGGGGCTGGGAGGCTTCAAGGAACAGCGACTTCGCCGCCCAGAGTCCACCGAGGGCTCCCAGCCCGGGTCTCGCTACCCAGCCCCGGGGACCAACGCGCGCCACCCGAACGCCGCGGATGGGGTGGGCGGCGCGGCCCCGCGCTGTCACCTGTCGGAGCGCTTGGTCCAGCTGCGGCGCCGAGGACAGGCTCTCGGCGTCGAGCTTCGTTTCTTCTTTGCAGTCCTCCGTCAGCTCTAAGTGATCCGGTCTAACTAGTACTTCGTGCAACTGTCCCACCTCCGGGAAAAAAGAAAGAAAGCAAACAAGAAGCAGGGGGTCAGTTTCCCCTCCCTGAACGCGGGGACCTCCATCCTCACCCTCCTCCCTCGCTCCCCTGTGGGGAAGGCCCACTCCTCCCGGCGGGTCCGGCTTCCAGAATCCAGGCTCGAGCGTCGCCTGCGGCTCCGGTAGCCGAGAGGTCGGCGCAGCCCTGCCCCCCAGCCCCACCCCCACCCGGATCAGGTCCGAAAAAGCCCTGGAAGTCCGCGCTCGGGCCCCCCAGGGACCCCACCCCGCCCCCGCCCGGTGGCCCCCGACGGGAGGAGAACAGAGCTTGGCGGCGTCCGGCCTCCCCACCTGGGCCAGATTTTGGAGGGCTGAAAGGGCTGGTTCCAAAGCGGCTGGAAGAGAAGTCTGGTTTTCTCCTTGGATTCTCCAGACCTCGGGTCCAGCCTCTCAAGTGGGCAAACGAGAGCAGTTGTTTACCCACTTCCTCTCAACTCGGACCAGCTTCTGCCCTCACGCCTATCCCTTGGACAGAAACCGTGGAGAAATACCTTCTTGTTGGCCAGATCCACGACTTTCCATAAGAGCAGGATTAGCTCCTTCTCGTCCGAGCCCAACTTGGCCCCGGTGGCCCCAGCCGTGATTCCGAAGAGCACCACCAAGTAATCCGGAGACGCCGTCATGACGATGGGTGGGGAGGGGGAGAAGGGGGGTCGGGAGGCGGCGAGGTGGGGCGGCCGTGAGAACGAGGGGAAAACCTGTGCTAAAACCTCTCCGAAGGAAAAAAAAAAAAAAAAGAAAGAGCGCCCACCCACCCCCCCTCCTCCTCCTCGCCGCCGCCGGTGCAAAAGGCGGTAACCAACCACCCGAGCCCTCACCTGGCCCGAGCTCCACGCCCTGGGCAGGAAGGGGGGTGGGAAGAAGGGCGAAGGAGGCCTGCCCTTTTTGTATTCAATGGCCCCGTGCGTCTATGCAAAAAGCTCGGAGCCGAGGCTGCACCCCCGGGAGGCGCGCAATGGCTGAAAAGCTTTTCTGTTTTGGGATGTGGCCCTACCTGCCCGCCCCCTCCCCCTCCCCCACGTGGTGCAGGTAAGAGACACCTGGCGGCGCTGGCCCATTGGCTCCTTCAAACCACGACGTGGCAGAGGAGAGGGGGGAGGAGGCCGCCCGGGGCGGGAGGTGGGGGGGAAGGGGAGGAGGGGGCGGGAGACAATGGCTGGCTGATTGCGGAGGGGAGGGGGAGACGCTAGGGGCGGGGAAGAGGCGGCGGCCACCCAGAGGGGGAGCCGAGGCTGGACCGTGAAAGGGTGAGGCGTCGAGGGCGCGGAGGGACGGGTCGGCCGTGTGGACGGACCCGAGAGATTGTGGGGGGCGAGGGGAGTGTGCTTGGAGAAAGGCCGGCTGTGGGGAACGAAGCCGCAGGTTCTAAAGGGTCAACCGCAAAGGCCTGGCGCGGGGAGGCGAAAGCAGGACAGAGGTGAGGCCCAGGTGCGGAGCTGCCCGGGGCGCGGCGCCCGGAGAGGGCGAACCGCGGAGGGAGGGACCGGCCAACGGCGGCCGGGAGGTGGCGGGCGCGCTGGCCAAGCCCCGGAAAAGCCGCTCCCGAGCCCAACACACCTTTAAGTGCAAACAGCCGGCGAAAGCCTGCCGGCCCTCCCCCTCTCGGGGCGCACGCCCCTCCGCTCCCGAGTCACTCGCTGCCCACCTTGTGGAGTGAAACTTCCGCGCGCGGTTGCGCGGGTCTCGGGGGCGGAGGGGGCTGGACGCTCGGCCACCAAATGACGCGGTCGCCCCATGCACGCTTTCGGGCACCGGTGACCCCCACGCCCTTTGCTCTCAACTGCTCCCTTAATTGCTCCTCCTTGTTCGGTGCTGGCTGCTCGCTGGAGACTGCAGCCTCCTCCGGTCCAGGGGCCCGCTTCCTTTGCTTTGCCCTGGGCCCTAAATAAAATGTATCGAATACCGTACCTGATGTTTTCCTAAGTCAAAGCAAAGCTAAGCTTTTTGCCCAGCTCGTGGCTCAGATCTCCCGCCCCCCACCTCGTACCATCGCCTTTGTACTTCTGTGTCGATTTGGCCAAGTTCCCCGAGCGATCTCCCTACCCTCGTCCAGCTAAACCTGCCAGGAGCTTGAGCGCCCACCTTCGCGCCCCTCCCATCGCCCTGCCCCCTCGTCGGACGGCAGTGTGGTGGGTTCTGTTGCCGTTTTCCAGAGAAAAGCGCTGGAGATGAAGTTTCCTTGGGTTTTTATGTTTGAACTCGATCTTTTATTGGGAACACAACGCCGTCTGAAGTATTACTCATTCGGCTCCAAGTATCCAGCCCTTGATTGATAATCGGAGAACCGGTAACCGTACCCCATTCACTACAGTAACCCGCGCCAGGTACAAATCTGAGCCCCTTTCAGGATGCTCTGGGGACGCTGGAGATAGGGCTTTGCCGCCCGGGAGGAGGCGCCGACCGAGAGGGCAGGTGGTGGGAGGGTTTCAGGAGCCCGAGGCCGCGTGGAGAGTCGCTGCGCAGGTAACGGCAGAGCGCGCCCCGGGAGAGCGGGAGAATGAATGCCGGGCTCTCCGGGGGCCCCCGAGGGCGCTGGGTACCAGCCTTGTTGGCAGCCGGAGCTCCAGCGTCCCGCGCTTTCAGGTGCGGGATCCGGAAGGGCGCCCACAGCCTCTCCGCGGACTCCGCGGCGGCAGCCTCGCCTCGCCCCGCCCGGGCCGCGCGTCCCCTCGCGCTCTCCCAGGCCCGCAGGCGCCGCGGGGGCAGGGACTGGGCGCGGAAGACGGCAGGGAGGGACCTGGAAAAACCACCCAGATTGCATTGCAGTGGGCGAGGCCGCTGTAGGAGCCGCTTCCTCCGAGCCGCCTGCCCCGCGGGGCGTTCTCCGTGCGCGGTTCCCAGGCGCTCGGCCCTGCGGGGTGCGGGGTTCCAGCGCGGCGGCGGCTTGGGGTGGGGAACAACCGGTCCTCCCCACACACTCACCGGGCGGGAGACTGTTGCTGAGAAAGTGTTAAAACTGCTCAGGCAGTCCTACCCGGCCCGTCCTTTGAGGCCTTTGCTGTCGGGATCTGAGGAGTGCGTTTTAGGTAAACGCAGAACTTGATTACCTGCGCGTTTGCCGGGGGATCGGCGGCGTTGGGCGCGTTAGAATCGAACTTCAGAGCTAACCCCTTTTCTCAGATCCTTGCCTGTTTCCTCTTTAAGGAAGTCGGTTTCCTAGTGTCCGATTCTTTTTAATCTGAAGTTTAGTTCGTCCAACTACACAGACAGGAGCTTTTTTTGTCTTACTTTGTTCTAGAATTGATTCCGAGGACTTGGAGCGGAGCTAGACATCCACGAAGTACTCCACAAATATTTGTTGAAAGATTTTAGCGAGTAACAACACCCACCCGTTTTTGCAGCTGTTTGTCTCCTGAGCCACCGCACAGTTCACGACTGCAACGGTGAGATTATGAAGAGGGGAGTTTATAGGTAATTCAAGTCTTAAGTGTTTTTTAAAAGAGTAGTTGCTAATTACTCACAAACAAATCTGTTGAAATCAAGATACTGTAAAAAAAAAAATTAAACTCGTGAAATGCAGGAATACTGAGCAAACTATGTAATACAAAACGATGAGTTGTGAATACAAACACATTTTATTGTCCACCCACCATTTACAAATGGTTCGATTATAATAGGAATAGTAAAAAAAAAAAAAAAAGGAATAGTCCTTGTGAGAGAGGAACCCTTTACCTGTGGTCGTAATTCAGGACACACCTAAAACTCCCCAACAGAAGCGAACCTTTGTTAAAAGCAGCAGAGACCCAAATTGAGGGACAGGCAGCAAAGTAACTGGCCTGTATTCTTAAAATTTTTAAAGACCTTAAAATTATTTTCTGAAGAACTGTTCCAGAATTAAGAAGATATAACAACTCAATGCAATGTGGATCCTGTACCAGGAAAAAACTTTTTTTTTCCCTCTAAAGGGCATTATTGGGACAAAAGGAAAAATTTGAATAAGGTCTGAAAATTAATAGTGTTGTATCACTGTTAATTTACGAACTTTTGTAATCTTACTGTAATTGAACAGGAAAATGGCCTTTGCTTTAGGAACTACCCAGTAATTAGTGATAAAGGGAAATCACTGTCTATAACTTATTCTCAAAGGATTCTTACCAAAAATATGTATATATACACATGTGTATAAACACATAGATGAAGAGAAACAATGATACAGAAGTATAAAATGTTAATGTAGAATCTGAGTGAACAAATTATACTATTCTTTGAAACCTAAAAAAAAAAATGGTTTTTTTAAAATAAATAAAAAAAATTTTTTTAGTGTCAGAGGACTGCTGCCACCATCATTTGGTGTTTGAGAAGGGTCTATCTCCAGACTTTCTATGTTAACCTAATCTTCCATACTATAGAATGAATCCATTTTGTCTTTTCCCTAGTGAAAGGAGGAGAAAGAAAGGTCACATTTTCTGTGTAAAAATCCTTTCATATCATTTAAGGTTTTCTTAAATAACTTTACTAGACTAAATTACTGCAAGCTCTTTAAAGGTTTCATCATGAATCGTACTTGCCTGCTCTTTATCTTCGTCATGCTCCTTGGACCCTTCTCCTCTTAGCACTTTCAGACAGCAGCTCTTGTACTAGACAGAAAACAAATGTGTCCTCCGTGGCCTGACCACTGACACAGTAGTACCTAGACGTACGTCATAGTCTTTTCTTTTCTTTTTTTTCCTGTGGCTGTGGGATCTCAGTTCCCTGACCAGGAATTGAACCCAGGCCTGACAGTGAAAGCCCAGAATCCTAACCCAGGGAACTCCCTAAATACATCTTCTTATTACTTACAATGCAGTTCCCTTTTTTAGACTACATAGCAGCATTGCATTTGCAGGCTCCAGTCTTGCTCTGAGGTCTCCAGATTTTTCCTGGAGTTTTCGCTTGCACATATTCAGTGGTTCTCTTGTACCTGTAAGAAAAGAGCCTTCAAAAGTGAATCAAAGTGTTCTCGAATTAGATAGTGGTGATAATTACATGAACATGTAAATAGACTAAAAACTACTGAATTGTACAGTTTCAAAAATTTATATTATGGCATATATGAATTATATTTCCATTTTTAAAAGAACAAATCAAAGTATTATAAAAACCTTGTGTTCTGAGGCTACACAAACCATTGATATTTCTTAGTTATCTGTACCAGATAAAGTTGTAAAAGAGATCACATTTTATACTCCCTAGACAAATCCAGTCTCTCTGAAGTGAAAAGGTAGGGGGATAGTCAGGATGGTCAGGATAATGAAATACATTATAATTTTCTATGAATTACACTGTGCATTACACATTTAAACAAATTACTGGTCTGAACCTTTATTATGGCAATTATTGGAGACGATCTGTGTGTAAAAAGTGTGGGTTTAATAATTGGCCCTGTCTTGTGCTACCTTCATGGCCATGGGTGCGCTCCTTAACCTTACCAGGACTCAGCTTCTCATCTGTATAAGTGGGCATGACGATAATGTGTATGTCGTAGATCTTCAGAGGAGAGGAAATACGTAAAGAAGTGTCTTCAAAGAAAAAAACCTGGAGAACCAAGAAGTTTGCTACAAAATTAGGACCTTCTCTTGGAGAGGGCGCTTTCCTGGTGGCTCAGACTGCAAAGAATCTGCCTGCAGTGCAGGAGACCCAGGTT